CGGAGGTGAGGTTCTCTGTGGTAGGTCTCACCCTCGATCATCACTTGAACCCGTTCCAGGGCAGATCCATCTGATAAAGGTCATATCGCAGTCTCTCAGTTCACTCTCCTCGCCTCCCTGAAAAAGGGCAATAAGCCAGATTTTCACGGAGCTGCCGGGGGTGAAGAAGCCAAAAACCTGTACCAGTACTTCTTTGAGAAGGTGCAACAAGGTTACGCGCCAGACAAGGTCCAGAATGGCGTCTTCCAAGCCATGATGGAAGTCGCCTTAGTAAACGATGGTCCCGTTCGTACTCTCACTCTACCAAGCAAGTCGTTAAGATGTGCTGACGAACTCTTCAAGGTCACGTTGGAGCTGTCTGTCAATCCAAAGGCCGCATCAACCCCCAAACCGCCTTCCACACTGTCTAATTGAACACGGTAGCCAGATCCGCGCGGTTCTGAATCTACTCCATGACCTCAAAACAAGTCGAATGAAAGGGAGTTCGTATTAAACGCTTAGAGACTAATCAAACCACTAGAGGGCAGGTGATAGATAGACTTCCTGATCAGTTAATGAAAGCCATGAGCCGGGTGCGCATAAAAGATTGCACTCAGCCTCATCTTTCAAAGACCAATAAGCCACGCTAAGGGGTATCTGTAGTTCTGGTAAGGTTGGGCTCGAACCAGCCGAACCAGCCAGACCTGTGACCAATCTATGTTGAGGGTATTATCCTTCCCAGCAAAAAGTTCCCTCAAGACGCGATACATAAACGGAAGAAAAAGACCAACACCGAAAACAACACCGTAAACCCGATGAGGCTAGAATCATCGCTGAATGCCCCTATGCTTACGTCTCTTCGCGGCGGTCTGAGCGTTCCAGACACCGGCAAAAATGTCATCGCACTCGCTTTCGTCGTCTGAGTCGAATACGATGGTCTCACCGCCCTCGCCCTCGCCATCCACCATCTCGCCCGGCTCTAGCGCAACGTCGGGTACTTCACTGGGTATGACGTCTTCCCAGTTTTTGTGCTCAACCGTCCTCCGGGTCTCGAGGATGAATCTTCCGACCTTGTATTTCTGCGACTCCTCCTTGGCGTCCACGTACTTCCAGCCGACCTTAGCGCGGCAGATGGCGCAATGAATGTCGGAGACGGTGTGTAACCCCGTGGTGAGGTTACGGGGCTCTGGCTTTCCGACTTTGATGTTGACCAAGTCGCCTCCCGGAGTGCCCGAGGAGGAGTCGGGAGGTGCAACCAGGTAGGCGCGTCCATGGCGACCTGTAAAGCCTTTGCTCACAATCTGAGAAGAAAAGGCCAAGTCGGTCCCACATCCAGAGCACCGGATAGTGTCCGGTTGAACCTTTGTGAGTCTTGAGCCTGGGGCGGCTGCCGGTTCGGCTGAGGACCGACGTAGACTGCGTTTGATGAATGAAAGCCCGTTCGCGAGCGGACCGTCTGATGTGGAGTGACCGTCCGCTGACGTAACAGAGTCGGTCGGAGAATTGCTCAGGGACGGAACGTCGTCGGGAGTAGGGATGTGAGAGTCAGAGATTGAACTCGCTCGACGCCGGAAAAGGCGTGTTGGAAAGCTGGGTAAAAGGAAAGTTGGAAACCTCGGTGGCGGTACTAACGCCCCGGTGGTGGTGGATGTGTTTGCTGACGCAGCCTGGGTTCTGGGTGGAGGTCTGGAAGACACCACGTCGTTAAGTATCATCGACAGCATCGCGGCGGCACAGGTTTTTTTCTCAGAAATAAGATAAGTTCTGGTACGCCTCTGTACGGGGAATCAATATATCACCATCACATCGATATCTCCTTGAAGTCCATACGTGATCCGCCTTCTTTGGATGAAGGTCCCTGATATCGAAGTGGCATATCAACCTTAACGTCAGCCCCGCATCGGATGAGTTGGCACCTCAAGGTTGCTTGGGCAAGGTGAAGTGCTACAGCATGGTACTGTTGTACAGCAGTACAGATGGGACCTAGATAGAGTGGTACATATGTACTACCGTCGACCTGGAGAACTGTGTGATAGCACTGCCTTTTACGGCCGGTATTTAGATAGTGGAAAGTCAAATGATAAGTTATAAATTCAGCGCTTGAACAGGCCAAACAACCTTGGGCCCCTGGGATGCTGGCACTGGACAAACAGTTTCTAGAGATAGGCACATGACACACTCCAGACGCAACATATTCAAAGTAAGGGAGCAGCTTTGAGTAAGCACTAGGCCAGAGAAAGATTAGTTCGAAATCAAATGCCGTGGATACGTGGTCATTGCGGGCATGAGCTGAAGGCGCTAGGCTCAGATAGGAAAATATCGGCAATATTTATTCAACGGGCCTCCAGGACTCTTTGTCCTCACAGGACGACCGGCGTCAAACTGCAATAAAGACTGAATATTTGCAAGCTCGCATCACCTTCTGCGGCTGCTTGAATAAGTACCCAGACTCTCATTCTGTGCCTGCGGCAGTATCGAAAAACTGATATATATATATATACGGTGTCCTCGTTCATCTCAGAGCCATGGATGTCTCTGCCGGCAAGGTTCAAACGGGGTATCGAGCGATGTGTGCGAGAAACGCGCGGTTAATTAATCACGCCAGTTGACACGAGTCTTCTCCATGAAAAGATCCAAGTAGCCTCGTCCGTACGGCCCACGATGAGACTCCGACCGAGACGGAAAACATGCGGCGTACACTATCGGGGCTCGTCGTGGTAGGTGACGATGGACTTGGGAGTTATCCACGCGGCATCCCAGATTTCCATGTGCCGTCACGTATACTATACCTCAATTCCAGCGTACAACTTCTGTCGTGTGCTTACGCGACTGACACCAAAGTGACACGGCAATAGAATCTGAATGCACGAATACCGAGCCAGGTCACGTCAGAAATTGCTCATTGCGACCCTGATCCCCCTATACCCAGTCGTCTCTTACCCGTGCCGTGCCGCTTTTTCATATTGACTGTAGAAAACGCGTGCCACTCGCCTTTTCGACAGTGGAAATGAAATGCAAAACACTCTCCCCAAAAAACAGGTGTCTACGAACTTCCTACTTGATGGTTTATATCCACTGGTCTCATGCAATGATATATAGATGCCTCACGACTGAATGAGAGAGAGCGAAGTTTCTCCTTTGACATGACCAACGTGCCATATCTCCCTCAAACCCCATCAATCCCTACAGGCAGCGCACTCGCTAAGCCATGCAATGCTCAGGAGCACTGCAATACAACGCCAATATGTCACACTCCAAAGTCTCATTGGTTGACCGTACAACCTCGTGTTTATCCTAAATAAGCCACCCAAACAGCTGTCAGGGGCATCTCATGGGATGGTTCTTTATCGAACGCGCAATATATCTACATCTCATCTCGGGCTCACGAATTGAGGTCTTTTTCGATTCTTGGAATTGCTATTTCTGGGCTTCATTTGGAGCAAAGGCAATCTGCTCATTCCAATATGTGCCATGGGAAGTCTTGCTGAAATGGACATTTCATACTGCGGTGGGTCGTGAAAAGAGCAAGGAGAATAATCTCGTTTCCTTATGCCCAGTCTTTGTACCAGAGGCCAAATATCCTTATCAAAATTTCTTTTTCTTCAAAACCATTGTACAAATCCACCAGCAGTCCAAAACTGAGCCTGTAATATCTAACCTAGATGTTGATGTGTTCGCACATCCTGCGCCTGTGCCTCTTCCACCAGGACGTGGTCTCGCAACATCAGCTTCCAAGTTGCCATGTCGCCTTTCCTCAACGACTTGAGAAATGTCACGCAAAACACAGACATACTCCTACAATGGGGTCCATCTGCCACGGACGAATTTCCACTACAGCTGCAGGCCCGAATACTGAACAGAACAGGCGACTATGAGATAAAGGTGGAGGAAAAGGTCATTGCAAGTGAGCGCGGCAATCGCTATTTATCATCACTTTTCTTCCAACTCGCTTTCACCAAGCCATTCTAACATGTCATACAAATTCCAACCAACAGCTGGCTTAGCCGCGAACTCGTACATTTGGAAAGACCTACCGTCCCCTCTTCCCTATCTCTCGACTGCAACGTACCAACTCGAGGTTCGGCCACGTGAGCGAGAAGTGGCGGCAGATTCGGACCTGGTCATCGCCTCTTCGCCCCAGTTCACGATCCTGCCCCACGGTAGAAACGATATTGTCAGACTAGAAGAGGGAGGAAGAAGAAGAGAAGAAGAAGAAGGAGAACCAGCAAACAAGACGAGCCCGAGCCCAAGCCCGAGTACTTCTGGCCCGAGCTTTGTGTTTCCAAGGCCCTCGACGACCCCCCTCTCAAACCCTCATACGAGCGGGCACCACGATAGTAGTGCCGCGGTAGCGGCGGGCGTAGCCATACCCGTCGTTGTCATTATATCTATCGCAATCTTCATATTCATGAACAGACGCCGGAGCAGGAGCCTTGAAGACCACCACGAGACTGGCGAGGAGGCTTTCTATTGACAGATGTCATTCACTCACTTCCTATGCGATAGGAGGAAGGCCAATCAGTCAACAGCAGCTTTGTCGACCTTTATTTTGATTTCCTTGTCGCTGTAACTTCCTGGGAAAACGTGCGATGTATTCGTCATGCGTATTGTGGGCACGAGGTATCGATGGGCGGTTTGTTTTAGATATAAGAAGAGCATCACGAGAGGGTCAGGGCCAATGTACTCACTGCAAGTCGAGAAGTCCGCGAAGGGATAGCGCACTGGCATCTTCAGGAAGTAGAGACTATCAAGCACGCGGTGATGGGGTTGCTTTTGTAAGCCATATCAATCACTTCTTTGCAAGTCTATTTATGTACGTACGTACGTGCAGTTTTCGTTTTCTTAACTTCTGAGACAACCTCAGTTATATAGTATATTGAGATCTCTAGATAGTGTCAGTTACAAAACCCTCACTAGAACGTACGGCGTCCAACCAGAGAAAACCGTCCAGCTAATCATTTCTGCACGAACAAGGAAGAGAAAAAAAGGCCTTTGCAAAAAGGGCAGAAAAAATGAAATCATGCCTCCATCCCGGATCGAACGAGAGACCTTGTCATGAATCTTGCTAACCTTGGACTAGGGATACAAGTGACACGCGCTACCACTACGCCATAGAGGCAAATCTGATCTCGTTGGTCGATGTGACCAACTTGTGACAAGGATGTTGCAACTCCATACTTAATATTTGATCCTTGATGCAAAAAGACTGGAATTCGATCCTTTCGCACTTTGGAATATTGTCCCAATCCTTGAATGTTTACACCTCAACTATGACAGGCTCTTAAAAAAACAGAGAAAATACAGAGATTTAGGAAACAGCAGTTTTTTTTTTCTCATAACAAATCTCATCCGTGGGCTTACATTGTAAGAAAATCTTCAAACCCAGCCCGTAAAGCACAGTAGAGTACAGCATACAGTACCACTATCCAATGACGCCGATTTCGGATCTATGTACACAGTCTTTAGACTAAATCCGAGAAAGCTGAAAATCAATCTCTCTCTCGCTGAGTATCGAACACGATCGGTGGAGATAAATCAGAACCTTGCTGCACACCAAGACAGGAATTGACAAAAATCAAGTGCCAGGTTAGGCACACAAGACTTTATTTGACTTCGTCAAATGTGAGCCTTGCCTGACATGGCAGCCGAGAAGATGAAGGAGAAGCAGGGGCAAGTTACTACTACAAGCCAGAAGAACTACAAGGGCTTCGTAGCCGGCGTCTTCTCCGGCATCGCCAAGCTCGCAGGTATGTTTAAAAAGAAAAGAGAAAAGAGAAAAGTAGTTCCGATCTATCTAAATCCCCCTTTTGCAGCCAGACAGGAATATAGCACAAAGGCAGGCAGGGACGGGGCGGGACTTGTTCTACAGAGGACCGGATGAATGAATTACAACATGCCGCTCAGTCAGTTTTTTTTTATTTCGTTTTTCAGCTAGACTAACTTGGGAATGGGGATGTATCTAGTCGGCCACCCATTCGACACGGTCAAGGTCCGTCTGCAGACGACGGACGCGTCGCGCTTCAGCGGGCCGCTGGCGTGCGTGGTCCAGACGGTCCGGAACGAGGGCGTCAGGGGCCTGTACAAGGGCGCGTCGCCGCCGCTCGTGGGATGGATGTTCATGGACTCGCTCATGCTGGGCAGCCTGACCATCTACCGCCGGCTGCTCGCCGAGCACGTCTTCTCTCCTCCTCCTCCTCCTCCTCCTCTATCAAGGCCGGTGCCGGACCCCCTCATCCCGGGCGAGCTGGACATGCTCCCCGAGCCCGAGCCCGAGGCGAGAGCGGGTCACCACAACCACCACCTCCCGTCCATCGGCCACGGCATCGCGGGCATCATGGCCGGTGCCACCGTGTCCTTCATCGCCGCGCCCGTCGAGCACGTGAAAGCGCGCCTGCAGATCCAGTACTCGGCCCGCAAGTCGGAGCGCCTGTACACCGGGCCCGTCGACTGCGTGCGCAAGATCTACGCCGCCCACGGCGTGCGCGGCGTGTACAAGGGCCTGGCCGCCACCCTCATCTTCCGCTCCTTCTTCTTCTTCTGGTGGTCCTCGTACGACGTCCTCTCGCGCTTCTTATCCTCTCGCAAGGAACTCGGCCTCTCCGCCCCCGCCGTCAACTTCTGGGCCGGCGGCCTGAGCGCCCAGGTCTTCTGGCTCACCAGCTACCCCAGCGACGTCGTCAAGCAGCGCGTCATGACCGACCCCCTCGGCGGCGCCCTCGGCGACGGCACACCCCGCTTCCGCACCTGGTGGCAGGCCGCCCGCGCCGTGTACGCCGAGAACGGCCCGAGGGGCTACTGGAGGGGCTTCGTGCCTTGCTTCCTCAGGGCGTTCCCGGCGAACGCCATGGCGTTGGTGGCGTTTGAGGGCGTCATGAGGGCTTTGCCGTGAGGTTTAATTAAACAAATTTGGGACCGGATTTACCTTGAGCGTTGTCGATAATACCAAAAATGCATTTCCACCCTCTCCTGAAACATGCATGAGATTATTATTAAACATCGTATTAAAGAGACATCAGTGACTGTTAACCTGAAGAGAAAGTCAGCGACCATACTTGCAGCTTTGAGCGTGGCTGTCCAATGCATTTGCTTACTTTAAGCAAGTGAAAACCCATTCCAAACATATCAAGCAAGTGAGTGATCGAGCTACTCACTAGTCTAGTCCACATGCTATGATAGCGAGTGTGTTAAGACACCAGAGACACCAAGTCCGTTGACCACCATAGTGGCGGGCGGCACTTGTTTCCTCCCGGGAGATCCAGTTATTTTATAGTCATTCCTTCTACATAACAATGTCAGCAGCTAATGATACATACGCAGCTATACTAAATAATATCAAGCACTCCACACGAAAGCAACAAGGGATAAATACGAGGCAAAAAAAACAACGGTTCAGAAAATAGCCTTTTACGAAGATGGTATCATGTCACGCTTATGATGTATAGGGGGGATGTGCTCAAAGATTGCTGAATCGTAGTAAAAAGCAAAAGACGTTCCAGAACTCGGGGTATTGAGTACAAAATTGGAAAACACACTTCCGCTCAAAAAGAACAAATGGCGACAGATGTAAGAAGAGAATAGAAAGAAGACAAGAGATATTCAACTCGCAAAAATATGCCCCAAAAAGTTTCTTCCGTCTGAGAGAGATGAATGATGTCATCATCAGCTCAGCAACAGGTCGACATGAACACGAGTCGCGTCAAGCCAAGCGAGCCCACCTTTGCCTCGGCTCACTGAACCCTTTGAATTTGACTTAAAGAATCGAAAAAGTAAAGTAGGTAGGTCGGTCTGGTAGGGCAAGGCAATTTCAGGGGAGAGCCAAAAGCGCAAAATGGCCGCCAACAACAGGCCGTGCGGCGAAGTTGATGCCCGGGTAGTCGCCCGTTACACAGTCGTAAAGATCCGTGAAGGCCCTGTTGGTGGGCGTGACGTTGATCCAGTTGGCGATGCGCGAGATGATGTCGTCCCTCGTCTTGGGCGCCGCAATCGAGGCTGCCCAGATCTGCCAGTCCGTCTTCGAGTACGTGTGGCGCGTGTCCAAGGGGACGCAGTACTTGAGCGCGACGGTCGGGTAGAAGTTGCTCTGCATGTCGTACACGGACTGCGGCACAAAGCTGGAGCCGTACCCGAGCAGCGAGTTGGCGTAGAGGTTGTACAGCAGACCGTGCGAGTCGGCCGCGCCGTAGGACAGGGTTGTGTGCGGCGGCGAGGCCTGGCTGTTGATGCCCAGCGTCTGCCACTGGGCGATGTAGGACTTGGCTGTGCTGAGATAGCTCTTGGCGTCGTCCTTGTGGCCCGTCAGGTCCGCGATGTCCGCCATGGCGCGCAGCCCGATGATTCCCTTGATAGCAAGGTTGGTCTGGTTGGCCAGAGATCCGGCGAAGTCGTCGGTGGAGATCTGGTCGGCCGGGATCAGCGACTCGTCGATCAGGTATCCGGCCCACTTCTTCAGGATGTTGTAGTGCTGGTTAAGGTAGCCGATGTCCCTGGTGCGTTGCGCGTATGCGAGCACCATGATGATCATGTTACCGCACTCTTCCAGAGGCTGTGGCTCGTCCGAGCCGTCAGGGTGCCCACTTGCCAGCGGGAATGTGCCGAGGTCATGGATGGCGCTGGTCTTAGGGTAGTGTCCGTTCTCCTGGTTCAGGAAGAGCGGCTTCAGGAGATAGTCGAGGAGCTTGGGATTGGTGTAGAGAATGACGGGCATCGCTGGGAATATGACGTCTACCGTCTGAATATCGCTGTTGGAGCTGATCTCCTTCAGGAAGACGACCGGATCCGCGGCCGTTCCCGCAAACTGCAGGGCACCAAAGGCCTGACGCACGCTCAGACTGGTGATGGTAAGATAGTCCTGGCCCGCTGCCCTGATGGAGTCGGAAGCGACCTTGTTGTCGAAATCGGTGGCAAGCCTTGCTGACTGGCTGTAATCGTGGTAGAACCATGTCACCTTGGGAGTCGGGGGTTAACCATGACAGATTCGTGGTGAAAAGGGCGACGACTGACTTACGGCGTCCATGTCCCTGCCGAAGTAGCTCTTCCAAAGGGAAGGATAGGTCGTGAGACCATCGCCTTTACCCAGCAACCGAACAGCATTGTCCTGGGTGAGACCAATGGTGAACAGAGTGTTGACGGGACCTTGGACTGGCCCGAGGTTCTTGGCAAAGCCGAATACGGGCCTGCAGGAGAATCAGCTAGTCAGGCTGAGTCTATCATAGGACGTCTTGATTAGCGAACATACCAGTTGTTGTTTACAGCTCGGAAGTTGGTGTCCTTGGTGTTGGGAAGAGCGCCCTTGCTCTGGAAAGTGCCACGAACATCGACATCGGCACCGCTTTGGAAAGTGAGCTGGAAATTGGAATGGTGGTTAGCGTGAGGCGTCGCCGTATCTGGCATGCGAGGAGAGGAGAATGTCTTAACCTACGGCTTTTGAGTCACCGGTTGACCAATAGAAGGTTCCCCAGTTTGGCAGCTCCCTCGTCTCTGAAATCTCAGTCTGGCTCTGTCGGTAGAACTTGTGGGAAGCAACACCATTAGTGGCGGCGTAGTCCCACTCGATGACGGCGCCGAGGTCACCAGATGCCCATTCTGGAAGGAGAAACGCCATCAGCATCGCGAAGAAGTGTGGCATGGACAGCTCCAGACAAAGGCTTTCACTCACCACCCGAGACGTCAGCGTACAGCTGTACGTCGTGCTTAGCACCGTCCAGCGAGTGGACACCGACGTCGAGGTAGGAGAAAGTCAGGGACTGTCTCTTGAGGTCTGTTGGGGTCACAGGAGAGAGGAAGGTGATGTTCATCTCCACCTTGTTGCCTACGTTCATGACGAAGTTACTCCTCGTGGACGTATAGGAGAAGCTGGTCTGATCGACATTCTTGGCGTTGGGAACAGCGCCCATCCACTGGTATGTATCACCGTCAACCCGGATGAGACCAGTCCAGGCTGTCACTTGTTGTCTGCCATGCATCATGTCAGTTGAGACGGTTCTGGTCTATTGTATCGCGGCATCGGTGTAGGAAGTTGCGCGAGACTTACTGCCACATCACCGGCCACTGGCCAGCAAGATAACCGCCGTTGCCACCATCGCTGCCGGCATTCAGCCAGGTGTTGAGGTAAGGTGCCTT